GCGGGGGTCGACATCAAAGGCATTCGTCGACCACCCAGGTATGCCTCATCCCAGGAGGCATACCTGGGTGGTCAACAAATGCCTTTGATGTCGACCCCCGCACGTCCAGACTACCGCGCTGAGCTGACAAACAGCTGATCGGCTCAGCGCGGCAGCCATGTAAATATAAATGAAGCGGCGATTGTTTAAATCGCCGCTTCATTTTCCTATGCCTAGTAGTCTAATCTACATGCCTCTGTCGCCAGAGGCATGTAGTCTAGACGTACTTATTCACAACACTCCTGTTAATGTAGCCAAGAAACATGTCTGCTGCTTCTGCATTTTTTACTCATGTTTAACTTGTGGTCCACTATGACCTCTATATCTCCTTCTGCAGTACTCCTTCCTAGATAATCACTTCCCTTTCCATATGTGTGAAACTGATTGTTCCTTCCTAAGTGGAGTACTTATTAAGCTTCATCCTATTTACCTCAGACCATTTCTCTAGTTTTTCCAGATCATTTTGAATTTTGACCCTATCCTCCAAAGCAGTTGCAACCCCTCCCAGCTTGGTATCATCTGCCAACTTAATAATCGTACTCTCTATGCCAATATCTAAATCATTGATGAAGATATTGAAGAGTCACAGTCCCAAAACAGACCCACTTGTTATACCCATCCAGCAGGATGGTGAACCGTTAATAACTACTCTCAGAGCAGTTATCCAGCCAGTTATGCACCCACTTTATAGTAGCCCAGCTAAGCTGTATTTGCATAGTTTATTGGTAAGAACATCATGAGTCCATATCAAATGCCTTACTAAAGTCTAAATATAGCATATCTACCACTTCTCCCTTATCCACAAAGCTTGTTATTCTATCGAAGAAAGCTATCAGATTGGTTTGACATGACCTGTTCTTTACAAATCCATGCTGACTGTTACTTATCAGCCTATTATCTTCCAGATATTTGCAGATGAATTCCTTAATTACTTGCTCCATTATCTTTCCTGGCACAGAAGTTAAACTGATAGGTCTGTAGTTTCCTGCATTGTTCTTATTTCCCTTTTTATAGATGGACACTATATTTGCCCCTTTTCCAGTCTTCTGGAATCTCTCCCATCTTCCATGATTTTTCAAAGATGATAGCTAAAAGTTCAGATACCTCCTCTATCAGCTCCTTGAGTATTCGAGGATGCATTTCATCAGGCCCTGATGACTTGCAGACATCTAACTCTTAAAATAATGTTTAACTTTATTTATTTTATCTTCTGAACCTATCCCATTTCCATTAGCATTCACTATGTTAGGCATTTCATCATCAGACTTCTTGGTAAAGACCAAAACAAAGAAGTCATTAAGCACCTCTGCCATTTCCAAGTTTCCTGTTGTTTCTCCCTCCTCACTGATCAGTGTGCCCTACCCTCTCTTTGGTCTTCCTCTTGCTTCTAATATATTTATAGAATGCCTTCCCTTTATGTCTTTAGCTAGTTTGAGATTGTTTTGCGCCTTTGCCTTTCTAATCTTGCCCCTGCTTACCTGTATTGTTTGCTTATATTCATCCTTTACAGTTTTATCTAGTTTCCACTTCTTCTGACGACTCCTTTTTGATTTTTAGATCATGCAAGATCTCCTAGTCAAGTCAAGGCCGTCTTTTGCCATACTTTCTATCTTTCCTACTCAACAGAATACTTTACATTTGGGCCCTTAATAAGGTTTTACTAAGAGCTCCAGGAGAGTGGTGAACCAATGCTGGAGGGGCCAGGATCAGAGCAGCCCTGTAGTTTGCCACGTCTTGAGGAGGACTCTGTGTATGAGAAAGGGGAAAAGGTGTATAGCAGGTGCAATGCCTAGGGCACCTGAAATGCATTTCCTATGGGCCCTAGGCTATCATTTAGGAATGAGCAAAACAGCAGACACTTCCTGTTGCCTTTCATTGTGAAGAGGTCTAGGTGCAGATAACATATAAAAGATGCCACGTGTAATAGATGCCTAAGCCTAGTCTGCTCTGAGAGAGAACTTGTGAGTTTAAAAAGAATGTCTGCCAGCGTATCCTGAGGTTCCCAGAAGATATGTGAATGGAATGTTGAACACAAAGCTCCCACAGTAGCAGGGCTTCCTGGCATAAGGGAGAGGAACGAGCACCACCTTATTTGTATAAAATACCACTGCTGTGTTGTCTCTCAGGATTGAAACACACCTGCCTTGTACATATGGACTAGGAACATCTAGCACGCTAGATGGATTGCCCTTAGTTCCCTGACATTAATGTGCAACAATAACTCTCTCTGAGACCACATACCTTGTGTCCTCAAGTTGCCAATGTGCACTCCCCAGCCCAGCACTAATGCATCCATCGCGAGCTGAACCAATGGTGAACAGCACTCCACTCCACACTACCTCCTCCTGCAGCAAGCAGGTCAAGGAATCCATGATGTGGGGAGGAAAGGTGATGAGCACATTTGTGAATACAAGCAAGCCAAGCCTGTAGAGGGGCCAGCCTGAGTTGGCATGTTGCACAATGTATGTGCGTACCGCCATGCAGCCCAACAGTTTCATATAATTTCTGGCTGTCGTGATAGGGGATAAGTGCAGCCATTCTACTGATATGAACCTGGGCCTTAGGTGAGAGGCCCCGGCTTAGGTCATGTCCAAAGACGCGCCCACAAACTCTATCCACTGCTTGGGGATAACAGTGGACATGGCCTCGTTCAACGCGCGCCCCAATCCAAGGAATGCAGCTCACACCAATTCCATGTGTTCCAACACCTGACTTTCTTATGGGCCCTTGATAAGCCAGTCATCCAGATTCAGAAAGCATTAGGTCCAGGTGTTTATGCAGCTACAACTCCCATAAATAGGCCAAATGGGAGCATTGCAAACTGATAGGAGGCATGGACAAACTGGAGG